ACACATACACACACACACACATACACACACACACATACGCACACACACACATGCACTCACATACACATACCACACACACATACATACATTCACACACACATACACACACACATATACACACACACACACACATACAAACCTCACTCAAGGAAAAAGATCTTGGGGTGAGTATAACACCAGGCACATCTCCTGAAGCGCACATCAACCAAATAACTGCTGCAGCATATGGGCGCCTAGCAAACCTCAGAACAGCATTCCGACATCTTAATAAGGAATCATTCAGGACCCTGTACACCATGTATGTTAGGCCCATATTGGAGTATGCGGCACCAGTTTGGAACCCACACCTAGCCAAGCACGTGAAGAAACTAGAGAAAGTGCAAAGGTTTGCAACAAGACTAGTCCCAGAGCTAAGAGGTATGTCCTACGAGGAGAGGTTAAGGGAAATCAACCTGACGACACTGGAGGACAGGAGAGATAGGGGGGACATGATAACGACATACAAAATACTGAGAGAAATTGACAAGGTGGACAAAGACAGGATGTTCCAGAGATTGGACACAGTAACAAGGGGACACAGTTGGAAGCTGAAGACACAGATGAATCACATGGATGTTAGGAAGTATTTCTTCAGCCACAGAGTAGTCAGTAAGTGGAATAGTTTGGGAAGCGATGTAGTGGAGGCAGGATCCATACATAGCTTTAAGCAGAGGTATGATAAAGCTCACGGCTCAGGGAGAGTGACCTAGTAGCGATCAGTGAAGAGGCGGGGCCAGGAGCTCGGACTCGACCCCCGCAACCTCAATTAGGTGAGTACAACTAGGTGAGTACATACACACACACATACACATATTCACACACATACACACACACACACACACACACACACACACACACACACATACACACATATAACCAAGGAGGAGGTGAAGAAGCTGCTATGCGAACTTGACACCTCAAAGGCGGTGGGACCAGACATCATCTCTCCATGGGTCCTTAAAGAGGGAGCAGAGATATTCTGTGAGCCATTAACAAAGATCTTCAACACATCATTTGAAACTGGGCAACTCCCTGAGGTATGGAAAATGGCAAATGTAGTCCCAATTTTTAAAAAGGGAGAGAGACATGAGGCACTAAACTACAGACCTGTATCACTAACGTGTATAGTATGCAAGGTCATGGAGAAGATCATCAGGAGGAGAGTGTTGGGGCACCTGGAAAGAAACAAGTGTATAATTGACAACCAGCACGGTTTCAGGGAAGGAAAATCCTGTGTCACAAACCTACTAGAGTTTTATGACAAGGTGACAGAAGTAAGACAAGAGAGAGAGGGGTGGATCGACTGCGTATTTTTGGACTGCAAGAAGGCCTTCGACACAGTTCCTCACAAGAGGTTACTGCAAAAGCTAGAGGACCAGGCACACATAACAGGAAAGGCACTGCAATGGATCAGAGAATATCTGACAGGGAGGCAACAACGAGTCATGGTACGCGACGAGGTGTCAGAGTGGGCGCCTGTGACAAGCGGGGTTCCACTTGGGTCAGTCCTAGGACCTGTGCTGTTCTTGGTATACGTGAACGACATAACGGAAGGGATAGACTCAGAAGTGTCCTTGTTTGCAGATGATGTGAAGTTAATGAGAAGAATCAAATCGGACGAGGATCAGGCAGGACTACAAAGAGACCTGGACAGGCTACAAGCCTGGTCCAGCAACTTGCTCCTTGAATTTAACCCTGCCAAATGCAAAGTCATGAAGATTGGGGAAGGGCAAAGAAGACCGCAGACACAATATAGTTTAGATGGCCAAAGACTGCAAACCTCACTCAAGGAAAAAGATCTGGGGGTGAGTATAACACCGAGCATATCTCCTGAGGCGCACATCAATCAGATAACTGCTGCAGCATACGGGCGCCTGGCAAACCTACGGATAGCGTTCCGATACCTCAGTAAGGATTCGTTTAAGACTCTGTATACCATCTACGTCAGGCCCATACTGGAGTATGCAGCACCAGTTTGGAATCCACCTAGTCAAGCACGTCAAGAAATTAGAGAAAGTGCAAAGGTTTGCAAAAGGGACTAGCCCCAGAGCTCGGGGATTTTCCTATGAAGAAAGGTTGGGGGGAAATCGGCCTGACGACACTGGAGGCCAGGAGGGTCAGGGAGACATGATAAACGAATATAAAATACTGCGCGGAAGACGAGGTGGACAAAGACGGGATGTTCAGAGAAGGGACACAGACACAAGAGGTCAAAATTGGAAGTTGAAGATTTCAGATGAATCAAAGGGATGTTAGGAAGTATTTCTTCAGTCATAGAGTAGTCAGGCCATGGAATAGCCTAGAAGTGAGGGTGGTGGAGGCAGGAACCATACATAGTTTTAAGGCGAGGTATGATAGAGTCATGGGGCAGTTTAGAGAGGGGGACCTAGTAGCAATCAGCGAAGAGGCGGGGCCAGGGCTGTGACTCGACCCTGCAACACAAATAGGTGAGTACAAATAGGTGAGTACACACACAAAATAAAACACACACACATACTCACACACACATACACACACACAACATACACACACACACACGTACAACACATACACATACACACCCCGCACACACACTTTACACACACACATACACAAAACATACACACACACACACACAACATACCACGCACACACAACACACACCCCACACACACACCACACACATACACACACACACACATACACACACACATACACTCACACAGTATTAGAGTTACAAGTGGAGAGGGAAGCAGGAAGGGCAGGACGAAGAAAGCCAAACTACAAGAGAGGGACAACACAGGCATGAAGAATTTCCTGCACGAGGTTCAGTGGGACAGAGAACTGGCAGGGAAGTCAATAATTGAGATGATGGAATATGTGACAATAATTTGCAAGGAAGTTGAGGAGAGGTTTGTACGCAAGGGTAACAGAAATAACGAGAAAGCCAGGATGAGCCCTTGATTCTCCCAGAGGTGTAGAGAGGCCAAAACCAAGTGTAGTAGAGAATGGAAGAAGTATAGAAGGCAAAGAACCCAGGAGAATAAGGAGAGCAGCCGTAGAGCCAGAAATGAATATGCACAGATAAGAAGGGAGGCCCAACGACAGCATGAAAATGACATAGCAGTGAAAGGCAAATCTGATCCGAAGCTCTTGTACAGCCACATCAGGAGGAAAACACCAGTCAATGACCAGGTAATCAGGCTGAGGAAGGAAGGAGGGAAGTTCACATGAAACGACCACAAAGTATGTGACGAGCTGAACATGAGAATCAAAGAAGTGTTCACAGCGGAGACAGAAGGGACTCTAGAAAGACTGAGAGGTGGGGTACACCACCAAGTGTTGGACACAGTACATACAACCGAGGAAGTAGTGAAGAAGCTGCTAAGTGAGATAGACACCTCAAAGGCAATGGGGCCGGATAACATCTCTCCATGGGTCCTGAGAGAGGGAGCAGAGGCACTATGTGTACCACTAACAACAATCTTCAACAATTTTATCGGAACAGGGCGGCTCCCTGAGGTATTGGAGACAGCAAATGTAGTTCCAATTTAAAAAAAAAAGAGACAAACACGAAGCATTAAACTAAAGACCTGTGTCACTAACATGTATAGTATGAAAAGTCATGGAGAAGTTTATCAGGAAAAGAGTGGTGGAGCACCACTCTTTTCAATGACAACCAGCACGGTTTCAGGGATGGGAAATCCTGTGTCACAAGCCTACTGCAGTTCAATGACATGGTGACAGCAATAAAACAAGAGAGAGAGGGGTGGGTAGATTGCCTTTTTTAGGACTGTAAGAAGGCGTTTGACACAGTTCCACAAAAAAGATTGGTGCAAAAGCTGGAGGACCAGGCAGGGATAACAGGGAAGGCACTGCAATGGATCAAGGAATACTTGTCAGGAAGACAGCAGTGAGTCATGGTACGTGGCGAGGTGTCAGAGTGGGCACCTAGGACCGGTGGTCTTTCTGGTATTTGTGAACGACACGACGGAAGGAATAGACTCAGAAGTGTCTCAGTTTGTAGATGATGTGAAGTTAATGAGAAGAATTCAATCGAACGAGGACCAGGCAGAGCTAAAAAGCGATCTGGACAGACTGAAGGCGTTGCCCAGCAACTGGCTCCTGAAGTTCAACCCCTCTGGGGAAAGGCAACGAAGATCACAGACTGAGTATAGTGTAGGGAGCCAGAGACTAGAAACCTCACTCAAGGAAAAGGATCTTGGGGTGAATATAACACCAGGCACATCTCCTGAGGCACACATCAACCAAATAACTGCTGCAGCATGCGGGCGCCTACCAAACCTAAGAACAGAAATCCCGACATCTTAATAAGGAATCGTTCAGGACCCTGTACACTGTGTACGTTAGGCCTATATTGGTGTATGTAGCACCAGTTTGGAACCCACACCTAGCCAAGCACGTAAGGAACCTAGAGAAAGTCCCGGAGCTAAGGGGGCATGTTCTATGAGGAGAGGTTAAGGGGAAATCGACCTGACGACACTGGAGGATAGAGGAGAGATGGGGGACATGATAAGAACATATAAAATATTGATGGGAATTGACAAGGTGGACAAAGACAGGATGTTCCAGAGATGGGTCACAGCAACAAGGGGTCACAATTGGAAGTTTAAGAATCAAATGAATCACAGGGATGTTAGGAAGTATTTTTTTCAGTTACAGAGTTATCAGAAAGTGAAATATTCTGGGAAATGATGTAGTGGAGCCAGGATCCATACATAACTTTCAGATAAGTATGATAAACCTCATGGAGCAGGAAGAGTGATCTAGTAGCGACCAGTTAGGAGGTAAGGCCAGGAGCTGTGGATCGACCCCTGCAACCACAACTTGGTGAGTGCACACACACACACACACATTCTCACTCACACTCACAAACAAACATGTCTGTCGACACTCACATTAGGACTCCTATTTAGGTATGTTAATGGTATGATAGTTTAAGGATGTGGAGTTGTGTTTACCATGTACAAACTACTCCTCCTGTGCAGAGTTGCTGGATGGTTATGGGTCTTCGCGTGGCTTGAGCGTGGGTGAGGCAATGTCTGGGTATGAGAGATGGGCATAGCACTGGCGAGGACACTGGTGTACGTGGGTGCTGGGATGGAAGTGACGGTCAGTGGCATGTGGTGGTAGGAGAGAGAACGATGCATATTGACTGGGAGGGGAGAAGAATACTCTTGCCGGATATATTGTGATTGGTGGGTGTGAGGCTGGGACTCAGCATGGGAATGGACTGGTTCTGCGTGGGTGTGAACTGGTTCGACGTGGGCGTAGGTGGCGTGCTTGATGGTATTAGAATCTACATAGGCGCCAGGGAATGCGTGAGATATTTCTGCAGTTACTTGGGAAATCTTTTGACCACTATTGCCAACCATCTCTCCGTATATCGTGTAGACGTCGCCAACTCCCCGACCATCCACTTGATCCACTAGGCTTCCTGGGGGTGCAAATAACTGTGTTAAAAAAACTCAATAATACGTCTGGAACAATTCACAACTATAATAAATTAGACACATGTGCAACACTTGGGTACCTTTAAAAATACCTGTCGGTTCTCTGAACCATTCATCTAAATTCACAACTAACCTACAATACCCTAGCTAAAACAATTCACCTCTAGCCCCTAATACTATAATGAATTAGACACCTGCGCAACATCCAGGGTATCTTTATTGTGTAGACGCTTCGCCAACTTCGCTTTATCAATTCAATAAGAAGACATGAGAGGTAGAAAATGAGTTAATCATTTCCTCGGCTTAGGAGCAAGTGTTTAGTACCATAGTCTTGACGAATCTACAGCACAAGCATCAAACATAGGGTTATATAATGGAGTCAGATGAGATGAAGATTTTGTCAGTGGTAGGCGGGATTCACCAGTGGAAGTAAGTCCTACCCTAGAGACTGGCCACACCTAAGGAGGAGCCTGTCTCTACCTATCACATGAAAAAAATGAAGTCTGGGAAAGGCCTAGGTAGCACTGTGCACAGGGCATCACACATGCAAATAATCCCACGAATCTTACAAAGATATATTGTAAAATTTACACTTATTTAAAGTAAATCAAATAAGGCGTTCTCAAATTATTGTAAATTAAAATTTGTGAAAATTTAAAGTGAAATATTATTGAGAATGGTCCGTAGAACAGGAATGGTCCGTGGAACAGGAATGGTCCGTAGAACAGGAATGGTCCGTAGAGTAGGAATGGTCTGTAGAACAGGAATGGTCCGTAGAACAGGAATGGTTCGTGGAACAGGAATGGTCCGTAGAACAGGAATTGTCTGTAGAACAGGAATGGTCCGTAGAACAGGAATGGTCCGTAAAACAGGAATGGTTCTGAAAACAGGAATGGTCCGTAAAACAAGAATTTTCCATAAAACACGAATGGTCCGTAAAACAGGAATGGTCCGTAATACAGGAATGGTTCGTAAAACAGGAACGGTCCGTAAAACAGGAATGGTCCGTAATACAGGAATGGTCCATAAAACAGGAATGGTCCGTAAAACAGGAATGGTCCGTAATACAGGAATGGTTCTTAAAACAGGAATGGTCCGTAAAACAGGAATGGTCCGTAATACAGGAATGGTCCGTAAAACAGGAATGGTCCGTAATACAGGAATGGTCCGTAAAACAGTAATGGTCCGTAAAACAGGAATGGTCTGTAAAACAAGAATGGTCCGTAATACAGGAATGGTCAGTAATACAGGAATGGTCCGTAAAACAGGAATGGCCCGTAAAACAGGAATGGTCCGTAATACAGGAATGGTCCGTAAAACAGGAATGGTCCGTAAAACAGGAATGGTCCGTAAAACAGGAATGGTCCGTAAAACAGGAATGGTCCGTAAAAAAGGAATGGTCCGTAAAACAGGAATGGTCCGTAAAACAGGAATGGTCCGTAAAACAGGAATGGGCCGCAAAACAGGAATGACCCGTAAAACAGGAATGGTCCGTAAAACAGGAATGGTCCGTAAAACAGGAATGGTCCGTAAAACAGGAATGGTCCGTAAAACAGGAATGGTCTGTAAAACAGGAATGGTCCGTAAAACAGGAATGGCCCGTAAAACAGGAATGGTCCGTAAAACAGGAATGGTCCGTAAAACAGGAATGGTCCGTAAAACAGGAATGGTCCGTAAAACAGGAATGGTCCGTAAAACAGGAATGGTCCGTAAAACAGGAATGGTCCATAAAACAGGAATGGTCCATAAAACAAGAATGGTCCGTAAAACAGGAATGGTCCGTAAAACAGGAATGGTCTATAAAACAAGAATGGTCCGTAATACAGGAATGGTCAGTAATACAGGAATGGTCCGTAATACAGGAATGGTCCGTAAAACAGGAATGGTCCGTAAAACAGGAATGGTCAGTAAAACAGGAATGGTCCGTAAAACAGGAATGGTCCGTAAAACAGGAATGGTCAGTAAAACAGGAATGGTCAGTAAAATAGGAATGGTCCGTAAAACAGGAATGGTCAGTAATACAGGAATGGTCCGTAAAACAGGAATGGTCAGTAATACAGGAATGGTCCGTAAAACAGGAATGGTCCGTAAAACAGGAATGGTCCGTAAAACAGGAATGGTCCGTAAAACAGGAATGACTCTTTTCTTGAAGTTTCTTTTTCTCATTTATATTCTATATAAAGTTGTCTGCAAACCTGTGAAAATAAATTTGAACCTACATAACCCACAATTGTTACGAAAATTCTCCCTATTAAGTTTGAAGCTTATAAGAAGAGCCATTCTCTAGTTATGCAATAGGAAACATCTAGCTTAACAAACTTGGCAATTTGAGATTTGCACAACTCAGAGTAACAGTATTTTCATAAAGGCTATCAATGCTAAAAGTTTGAAGCCGATCAGAAAAGGCATTCTCCGGCAATTAATTTCATTCAAGCGATTAAAGTTTTTATTATTTGAATATAATTTCAAATTCGAGTTTGAATGTAACTTAAGTAATATTTTGAAATCAATTAAAAGAAACGTTCATTAGGTATTAAAAAATTATTTCAATATTTATTCAATTAACAAATTGAGAATTGTGGCAACCAGTGGCAGCGTGAACTTTATGTTCAAAAAACTACACCAGACGAAAAAGTTTGAAGGCGATCACATGAGTCATTCTCCAGATGTGGCACTGATTCCAAGTATTCTTTTACAGCAGGTAAAGGAATATTAAAAGTTACTATCCAGGTGGTACGATGCTTCACTCATTAAATATTGAAGCCGTTCAGAAGAGGTCAACTGAAAATTATTTAACGTGTACACAAATATTGGTCAAATCTGCACCTATACATATGAATTTCACTCTCCACTGTCTTCACATAATGTTGAGCTAAAGCTACTGGGACTACTTAAGGTGAAGAATTAGACACATGTGCAATATCTTGGTATCTCTGTTTGTAGACATTTTGCCAACCAATGCACATGTGTCTGACTCTTCACCTTATTCGTATTATATACCATTCATATACACTGTTTAAGTTGTTAATCCACAGCTCCTGGGCCACCTGGGAAGACTGAACTATATAAGTCCTGGTTCTCGTGACCGAGTGCCGCTGCGACTATTTTGTCTCTCCTGAGTTGATGTTACATCTGTCATTCGTGAGTGTACTGAGGCAGTGAGTGTACTGAGGCAGTGAGTGCACTGAGGCAGTGAGTGCACTGAGGCAGTGAGTGTACTGAGGCAGTGAGTGTACTGAGGCAGTGAGTGTACTGAGGCAGTGAGTGCACTGAGGCAGTGAGTGTACTGAGGCAGTGAGTGTACTGAGGCAGTGAGTGCACTGAGGCAGTGAGTGTACTGAGGCAGTGAGTGTACTGAGGCAGTGAGTGCACTGAGGCAGTGAGTGCACTGAGGCAGTGAGTGTACTGAGGCAGTGAGTGTACTGAGGCAGTGAGTGTACTGAGGCAGTGAGTGCACTGAGGCAGTGAGTGTACTGAGGCAGTGAGTGTACTGAGGCAGTGAGTGCACTGAGGCAGTGAGTGTACTGAGGCAGTGAGTGTACTGAGGCAGTGAGTGTACTGAGGCAGTGAGTGTACTGAGGCAGTGAGTGTACTGAGGCAGTGAGTGTACTGAGGCAGTGAGTGCACTGAGGCAGTGAGTGTACTGAGGCAGTGAGTGTACTGAGGCAGTGAGTGTACTGAGGCAGTGAGTGTACTGAGGCAGTGAGTGTACTGAGGCAGTGAGTGTACTGAGGCAGTGAGTGTACTGAGGCAGTGAGTGTACTGAGGCAGTGAGTGTACTGAGGCAGTGAGTGCACTGAGGCAGTGAGTGCACTGAGGCAGTGAGTGTACTGAGGCAGTGAGTGTACTGAGGCAGTGAGTGCACTGAGGCAGTGAGTGTACTGAGGCAGTGAGTGTACTGAGGCAGTGAGTGTACTGAGGCAGTGAGTGTACTGAGGCAGTGAGTGTACTGAGGCAGTGAGTGTACTGAGGCAGTGAGTGTACTGAGGCAGTGAGTGTACTGAGGGAGTGAGTGTACTGAGGCAGTGAGTGTACTGAGGCAGTGAGTGTACTGAGGCAGTGAGTGCACTGAGGCAGTGAGTGCACTGAGGCAGTGAGTGTACTGAGGCAGTGAGTGTACTGAGGCAGTGAGTGTACTGAGGCAGTGAGTGTACTGAGGCAGTGAGTGTACTGAGGCAGTGAGTGTACTGAGGCAGTGAGTGCACTGAGGCAGTGAGTGTACTGAGGCAGTGAGTGTACTGAGGCAGTGAGTGTACTGAGGCAGTGAGTGTACTGAGGCAGTGAGTGTACTGAGGCAGTGAGTGTACTGAGGCAGTGAGTGTACTGAGGCAGTGAGTGTACTGAGGCAGTGAGTGCACTGAGGCAGTGAGTGCATGAGGCAGTGAGTGTACTGAGGCAGTGAGTGTACTGAGGCAGTGAGTGTACTGAGGCAGTGAGTGTACTGAGGCAGTGAGTGTACTGAGGCAGTGAGTGTACTGAGGCAGTGAGTGTACTGAGGCAGTGAGTGCACTGAGGCAGTGAGTGCACTGAGGCAGTGAGTGTACTGAGGCAGTGAGTGTACTGAGGCAGTGAGTGTACTGAGGCAGTGAGTGTACTGAGGCAGTGAGTGTACTGAGGCAGTGAGTGTACTGAAGCAGTGAGTGTACTGAGGCAGTGAGTGTACTGAGGCAGTGAGTGTACTGAGGCAGTGAGTGTACTGAGGCAGTGAATGTACTGAGGCAGTGAGTGTACTGAGGCAGTGAGTGTACTGAAGCAGTGAGTGTACTGAGGCAGTGAGTGTACTGAGGCAGTGAGTGCACTGAAGCAGTGAGTGTACTGAGGCAGTGAGTGTACTGAGGCAGTGAGTGTACTGAAGCAGTGAGTGTACTGAGGCAGTGAGTGTACTGAGGCAGTGAGTGTACTGAGGCAGTGAGTGCACTGAGGCAGTGAGTGTACTGAGGCAGTGAGTGTACTGAGGCAGTGAGTGTACTGAGGCAGTGAGTGC